AGATTATCTATTACATACTTTATAAGAATCCTTATTCTGCATTCTACAGATCTATTTCTCCAACACACTATGTTCATCCTAGCATTGTTGCTATTTTTACCAAAAGAAGTATAAACAGTTCCACAGATACTTCATAAGTCATGACTTATTTTTTATTCTCCTCTGAATATGCTTACTCCTATTTTATGGTAATGAGATTTTATAAGTTGAATGCTTTTAGTTAATGTAATTGATGGAATTTGTTAATAAATCTCCATTCCCTGAGCATACCTAACCAGTAAGTTTAAGGGTATGTAGAAGACATGACAGTTTGTTATATGTCATGGTGACAAAATACATTACAAAAACAGTTGAAAAGAAGAAAAGTTTATTCTAGTTCACTGTTTCACATGTTTCAGACCATGCTTAATTTCATATGTTGTTTCTAAGACTGTGATAAGACACAAATATGGTAGAAAAGTGTGTTGGAGGAAGGCTTCCCAATTCATGGTAGGTGGGAAGAAGAGAAAGAATGATAAAGGAAGGGACTGGGGACCAGCTGTAGTTCCCAAGGTAGCCCCTGCTCTCTTTAGCTAGGCCTTCCCTACTGTTTCATAGCTTAATAATTTCATTGATTATGATCTCAGCCATGGATTAATCTGCTTGATGAAGTTAGAGCCTTCATAATCCAATCACTTTTAAAACCATACCTTTGAACATATTTAATTTAACAATGATTTAGATCCGAACCATAACATTCTGCCCAAACTCGAAAGGCTAATGATTCTTTCATAAGGTATAATGTATTTTGTTCAACTGCAAGAGTTTCCAGAGTTGTAGAATTTCCAGCATTGTTCAAAATTTCCAGTTCAAGTTCTCTTTTGAGATTCAGAAAAGCTCTTACCTTTGAGTCTATAAAAAATAAACTCCCAGGATAAAATGGCCCAAGATGGTCATTCCCATTCCAACAGTAAAAATAGGAAACTATCAAGGCTTTGGACCAAAAGAAGACCAAAACCCATCAGGCAAACATTAAATTTTGTAGGTTCATGTTCAGAATTTAATATATATTTGGCATGTTGTAAACTCCAAAAGGCTCTGTCCCTGTGGCCTTGCTGGTTGTAGCCTAAATGGCCCTTTTCTTGGACTGACTGCATGATGCTTGTAGCTTGATAGACATTCCATATTCCTGGTGTCTCCAGCTTCCAGGGCTCTTCACTGCAGCTTCAGCTCATTTACACAGCTTCCCGGTGGCTCCTCATGGGGATTTAAACACCTTCATACATGGCCTTATCATCCACGCCTGCTTCTGAAATTTGGGTAGAAGTGTCTATGACCCCACAACTCTATACAACATGCTGACGCCATGGACAGTGCCAGGCTCTTCTACCAGCTCCAGCACTATGCATGCCTTCTTGAGAATGATGGCTGCAGTAGCTTCTGAAAGGTAGATGAATGAGCTCAGGAATGTGTTGAGGGCTATTCACCCTTAAATAAAGTAGAGTCCCTGGTGCTTTCATCTTAGAGACTTGCTAAGAGTCCTTACATTCATTTCCTTATGCCTGTTATACATGCGGTATCATCATTCTTGAGATGCTTTCAAGGCATCTCTTCTATCATACTGGAAGAATGTATTGGTTTCTCTTTTCTGACACTAATTTCTTCAGCACCCACACCTTTCTCGGTCTCTACTTTGCCCCTATTTTTTCTTGCCAATCTATAAACTTTTTAAATATTTCTAGCCAGCTTTTTCTCAAGATTTTTACTATAAATCTAGACAAAAGCAGTCAGTAATACCCATGTCATCCCTTGAATAGTATACTGCTTTGAAATTTTTCCTGCCAAATAAACTATCACCTTTAAACCCAATATCCACAAACTCTCAAGACATGGGCAGAATATAGACTAATTCTTTGTCAGAATCTGAAATAAGTAGCTGTGATTTAATTCCCAGTACAGTCCTTTTTTTTTTTTTTTTTTCATTTCAAGACTCATTTTAGATCCAAACTTTAGGAGAAGGTTTACTGTAACAAGGATAAATAAAGGAAAAAAGGTCAGCATGTCAACACAATTTTTGATAGTGAATATCAATTTCAGAAATGAGTATCATGTGGAAGACTTATAACTCAGTTGGCAATGAAATTTAGTATGGCTTAGAGCATTAAAAAGTCCACTTTCCCTTTGGACATTTCTGCTGAACATTTATCAAGCTGTGGCATTGTTCTGTCAAGTGGTATATCTATGTTCCTCAATAGGAGACATTGCCAGTATGTATTCAAGATAGTAGAAAAGTTTAAACTTTCCCAGCAATGTGTAATGGTTCATATTGTTTCATATGCTCTCCAACAGTTGTATTCCTTTCACCTTGGACATTCTGATTGCTGGCAGCAGTATTGCATTATAATTTGAAATAAATTTTTGAACCACATTGTTGAGAAGCTAAATATAATAGATAAAATAAATAGTGTAATAGCAGATAAAGTCAGAGAAAGAACAGAATTTAGACTGACTTGGCAATCTGATTTTTAGTTGTCTCCAAAATAGAGCAAAATATAATACCTGAAATAAGAGAAAAGATTTGCAAAATATATGAAAAATTCCTTTTAAGACAAGAGATACTAGGTAATAGAAGTGATAAATAAAGTAATATACCTCTATAATTATATCAATTTTATATCTTGAGACTGTTTCCTACCTGTAACAAGGTACAAAAGAACCTGATTTTAAGAATCTAGAATTTGAGATTGTGAGTTAAGAGAGCAGATCTTAGAGTCCACATGTGATGAGGAATGTGGATTTCACAAGACAGTGTATGAGAGGACAGTACTGTTCTGGAACAAAGATATGGAGTTCCTCTATCTATGAGCATTTATCAGGATTTTGTTGATAAACCAACCAGGGAGATAAGAATGGCCATAAAAGGTATTAAGGCAGGAAAAAATAGACAAATGGAACAACAACAGAGTAGGTGGTATAAATAGAAGTAAAAAGTATGAAAGACTTAAAACCTACCTATCGGAGTAACCCATTAAGTGTAGGTAATATAAAGAGCACAATAAAGGGGTAAAATTGTTAAATTGGATTTAAAATAAATAATGATGACCAAGTAAAGATTTGTTTCCTGCCAGAAACATTTTAAATCTAAGAACACAAACAGATGGAATACTGTGGCGTTATGTATCATGAGTTACAGTTCTGAAAAGGGGACCAGGGATATTGATAGGGTGACATTTGAACTAAGACGTGATGGAGAGAGCGAGCACACAGTGAAGAGAGCTGGCTGGGTGAGAGCAAGCACAAAAGGTGCTGTGACAGGAGCAAGCTCTGCCATAAGCATTTAGGACGCTGAAACCCTTCAGTAAGACATTATTTCTTTAATCTTTCCTCAGGAGGTAAAATAAAACAATATTTTATGCATCAACATTTGGTTAAAACAGACTATTTTTATATACTAAGCAATATTTATTGATAAAATTTAGGTGGCTGATGAAAGAAAAGAAAATAGCTCTCATTGCCTTTATAATAAAATATAAATTATGTTTGGACTATTCTAAATATGAGCTCCTTAGACTCAGTTCTTTATAAATTGACTACTCTGTTAAAGGTTTTTAAATGCTGTAATTGTTTAAAGGTACTGCTTAACTTTCTAGATAGTTCAACTTTTAAAGTTATTTGAGAAACTGTTAAATACTCTGAATCCAGTTATTTTAAATCATATAACTAGCAGAAAATATTTACTGAAAAATTATGCTTGATTTATTAATATTTTATGGTGTGTTGTCTTATAGCTATTACTTCTAAAAGATCAAATTTAGAAATTACATGTTTTGAAGAACATCGCATTTATAAAACTATTGGTAAGATTAACTGTATATTTTTTCATATACTCAGGTTTTCTGTATGTTGGAGAAATATTTTGATAATGTAGTCTTGTATATTAGCTATATTCTACTAATTTGTCAACTAGTTAGAAATCTGATGGTTTTCCTATACCACCATTCCCTATGGATACTGATACTGAATACCTGATTCTTAATGGTAATTTTCCAGTGAAGAATTAATGATTTTCCTTAACTTAAATTGTTAGATAATTCATTACAACTTATGTTAAACTGTAATACGTTTCTAGTATACTAAAAGAAAATTTAGCTACTAACAAACATGCTAAATATATACCAGGACTAAATTGAGAATTCTTTGATTGCAAAGAACAATTATGAAAGAAAAGGAGTGAAATGCATATTTAATAGTATGAATAGGTGTTTTTTAATGTCATTGTCCAAAACTACAAAGTCTATCTTTTGTACTGCCAGTTATGGGAACCCTTAGCCTTTTGAAGCATTAATTGTGTGTGTGTGTGTGTGTGTGTGTGTGTGTGTGTGTGCGTGTGCGTGCGCACGTGCACGCACATGCTTGTGTGCATGTTTATGTGAGTGTGAAGATGTGCTTCAGGTACACTGATTTTAAAATTTAGCATTTTCAGATAAAATGGGTCATAATTTTCTTACTGACTTTGGGTGATGTATTGGTCAGTTTTCTTCTTGCTGACAGGAAATACCAACTACCTACAATTTAAAAATAAAACGTTTATCTGGCTAATGACTTCAAAGTATTAGGTGTATGGTTAATTGTCTCCAAAGCAGGAATATCATGGTGGGAGAGTTTAGTAGAGCAAGGGTGCTTAATTCCTAGCTTCCAGGAAACAAAAATGGAAGCGTGCCAGAGGAGGAGGAGACAGAAATCAGGTATAGATTCCATGCTCATGCTTTTATGAGTTGCCCAAACACACCCAAAACCGTGCTTTTGTAATCCATTAGAAAGTCCCCATGCCAATCAAGATGACAGTTTAGCGTAACCTCACAAACAGCTAGCTTGTTTTTTTAATACTAGCACATACACTGACTTCTCTATGTATATGTTACACTGAACTCTTTAGGCTCCAAGTATGTATAAATTAAAAAGTTGCCAAAACATTCTCTAGAAAAATAATTAAAAAGAAATTGTCTTTCATGTTTTTACAGCTTGCAGACCAGGATTCTATAAAGCATTTGCTGGAAACACAAAGTGTTCTAAGTGCCCTCCACACAGTTTAACCTACCAGGAAGCCACTTCTGTCTGTCAGTGTGAAAAGGGCTACTTCAGAGCTGAAAAAGACCCACCTTCTATGGCATGCACCAGTAAGTCTACACATCTTGGATTTGGAAATCCTGTATCCAATCCCTTGTGTTTCTTTATTTACAATGTACAAATGTACAAAGTCCTGTATTATCAGTATAATTTGTCTTTGATAATAGGCAAGGAAATAGCTCTTTTTTCTCTTAATCATTGTTTTCAAATAGTTTTAACATTGTGTTTATTTCTCAAAATTTATAGTAATTCTTTATGTACTGATACGAACATTGGTTTGTCACCCTGCAAATATTACCTAAGCAAGACTTCTTACTGCAAATTTGAGAAAACATGAGAAGTTATAAACAAAGCCTCAGTTCTTCACTTTAACCATTTTAAGGCACATTGATTTAGGAACATAAAATTTTTTTATGTGTGTGAGGGATAGTTTGAATCAGGTTGACATTTGTCTTAAAGACAGCTTTTTTTTTTTTTCATTTGTCTATATTTCACCTCTCAGTTTCTCTTTATTGTTTTGGTTGGAACCAGTAGAATCTTAGATCTAAATGTGAAGGTCATTTCAGTGCATATCCTCAGAATTTTAAATTATTTCTGTCTTCTGTTGTTTAAGTCTTGTGAAACACCTATACATTTAGAAAATGAAACAATACATTAGTACATTGTACATTAGTACATTAGTACATTGCTAAACTAGACAAAAGTAAAATGTCACATTCAGTTATAAAGGCTTTTAAATTATAGACAAGATATTCTATTGAGAATTCGCCATTCTTACTGATCAATGGGTACAAAAATGTTGCCTATGTAATTCTGTAGAAGCAAAAGTACTGCAGATTAAAAATTATGTTATATCGTATATTTCTTAGAGATAATAGATGTCTCATTTTTTAAGGTTAAATAATGCTCCTCGACTTTGTGTGTTTAACTATAATTTTTATTATAAAATGATTTTGAGAACATATTTAAGAAACATTGTAAACATTTACTTGTAGATATAAATTTTGCTATTGGAAATTTTGCTTTTTTCTATTTTTATTTAAAGAAAAAACAGAAAAATGGTAGAAATAATATAAAATTTTAAAAAATAAACAGTAAGAAATCACTAGTCGATAATTACATATTGTCCTCTTACAAATAGTTGTTCAGGTTACAAAAGTAAAGCATACAAAGTGGACATTGAGACAGCAAGACTGTAAACAGTTCTGTTCAACTATCCAACAGAAAGTTAGTAATATTGTTATCAGTACTATACACTTAAATATACATGCAGTTACATACTTGAGAGCACTTTCTTTTCCTTTCTTTTTTACAATAGCAATTACTCTTTTCGAGTTTTATTACTCTTACAGCTCTTACTACTTACATCTTTTTCATCCAATCTACAGCTGATGGGCATCTTGGCTGTTTCCAAAATTTAGCTGTTACAAATCATGCTGCTGTAAACATGGGTGCACATATATCACTGTGATATAACCTTTTTGTTTTCTGGGAAAATACCCAGGAAAGGAATAGCTGGGTTGAGTGAAACTTCCAATCCTAGTCTTCTGAGAATTCTCCATACTGATTTCCATAGTGGTTGCACCAGTCTACACCCCTACCAACAGTGAAACAGTGTTCCTTTTTCCCTGCAGCCTCGCCAACATCTATCAGTTGATTTCTTGATGGCAGCTATTCTTTGTAGAGTGAGATGAAATCTCAATGCTGTTTCAATTTGCATTTCTCCAATGACCAGTGATGGTTAACATTTCTTCATGTATTTATTTGCCATTTGTATATCTTCATCTGAGAAGTGTGTATTCATCTCAGATGCCCATTTTTGGAGAGGGTCTTTGAATTTGTGGGGCTTGATGTTTTTCAATTCTTTATATGTTCTGGATATAAGTCCTTTGTCTGAGGGGTTGCTGGTTATGATTATTTCCCATTCTATGGGTTTTCTTTTCACTCTGTTGGTGATTTCTTTTGAAGTGCAGAAACTTCAATAATATGAGATCCCAGTTGTTGATTCTTTGAAGTGTTTCCTATGCAGCTGGCATTGTGTCATGAATTCTCTGCCTACCCCTGTGTCTCCAAGACTTCTACCAACCTTGTGTTCCAGTAGATTTAGTGTTTGTTTGAATATTTAGGTATTTGATCCGTTTTAGTTTAGTGCATGGTGATAGGCATGGATCTAGTTTCAGTCTTCAGCATGTGGAGAGCTATTTTTTCCAACACCATTTATTAAAGAGGCTATCCTTCTTCCAGTGAATATGTTTAGTCCCTTTGTCAAGTATCAGGTGGCTGAGTGTCTCTGTAGTTGTGCTTGCATCTTCTAATCTGTTCTATTGATCCTCAGGTCTATTTCTTTGCCAGTACCATACTGATTTTATCACTGTGGATTTATAGTATATTTTCAAGTCAGGAATTGAGATGCCTCCTGCCTTGCCTTTGTTGCCCAGAATTACCTTTGCTATTCTAGGTTTCTTCTGTTTCCAAATAAACTGTAAGAGTGTTTTCTCTAGATCTGTGAGGTATGTTAATGGTATTTTGGTTGGGATTGCTTTAAATCTGTGTAACAGTTTTGGGAGTATGGCCATTTTCATGTAGGTTCTTCCTAGCCAAGAGCAAGGAATATCCTTCCATTTTCTAATATCCTCTTCAATCTCCTTTTTTAGTGTACCATAATTTTCAGCATATAGGACTTTTACATTATTAGGTTGATTCCTAAGTATTTCATTGTTTTAGATGCTATGGTGAAGGGCGATATTTCCTTAATTTCTCTCTCAGTGAGTTTTTTGTTTGTGTAAAGGAATATTATTGGTTTTTGAGCATTGACTTTGTATCCAGCTATACCGCTGAATTTGTTTATTACTTCTAGTAGTCTTTTAATGAACTTTTTCGATCTCCTATATAAAGCATCATCTGGAAAATAGTGATAATTTCACTTCTTCCTTTCCTATCTTTATTCCTTTTATTTCTTTTTCTGATTGCTTTTGCTAGGGTTTCCAGAACTATATTGAATAGGAGCGGTGATAGTGGACATCCTCATCTTATTACTGATTTTAAAGTGGAAGGTTTCAGTTTTTGTTCATTTATTATAATGTTGGCTGTTGGTGTGTCATACATGGCCTTTATAAGATTATACAGAAACAGTATATTCCAAGTTTCTGAAGGGTTTTCATCATGAACATGTGTTGGACTTTATGGAAATCTTTTTCTGCATTTTCTGTCTTTCATCTTTTTCTGAGATGACCATGTGGTTTTTGTTTTTGGCTCTGTTGAGGTGGTGTGTTACATGTATTGGTTTGTGTATGTTAAACCATCCCTGCATTCCTGGGATGAATCCCACTTGGTCATGATGTATAATCTTCTTGATGTTTTGCTGCATTCTATTTGCCAGTATTTTATTAAGAATCTTTGCATCGATGTTCATGAGTAAGATTGGCCTATAGTTCTCCTTTTTGGTTGGGTCTTTCTCTGATTTTGGTATGAGAGTAATACTTGCTTCTACCGCTGATTTAGGGAGAATTGCTTCCTTTTCAATTTCGTTGAAGAATTTAAGGAGTATTGGCATCAAATCTTCTCTAAATTTCTTGTAGAATTCAGCCATGAATTCATCACGACCTGGGCTTTGCCTTGTTGGTAAGTTTTTAATTACATATTCAATTTTAATAGCTGATTTTTGGTTATTCAAAATTGCTATATCTTCTTGGTTGAACTTTGGTAGTTCATACGTTTTTAGAAATCTGTCCATTTTCTCTGTGTTTTCTACTCTATATGGGTGGAGATTTTCTAAATAGATATTATGATCTTTTCAATTTCCATGGGATCTGTCATAATTTCCCCTTTTCAGTCCTTATTGCATGAATTTGATTTTTTTCTGTCTTTTTATTTATAAGGTTAGCTAGAGATTTGTCAATTTTGTTTATTGTCTCAAAAAAACAGCTTTTTGATTCATTAAATTTTCATTATTTTTTTAAGTTTCAATTGCATTGATTTCTGCTCTAATCTTTACAATTTCCTCTATTCTGTGAGCTTTGGGTTTAACTTGCTATTCTTTTTTCTAGAAGCTTGAGAAAAAGCATCAGGTTGTTTATTTGTGCTCATTCTGTTTCCTTGATATGACAATTTATTGCTATATATTTCCCTTGTAAGACCACTTTCATTTCATCCCACAGATTGCAGTATGTTGTTTCTACATTTTCATTGAATTGTAGGTATAGTTTTATTTCTTCTTTAATTTCATCTCTAGCCCACTGGTTGTTCAAAAGGTTGTTATTTAATTTCCATATATTTATGCAAGTTTTGCAATTTCTTTTTCCATGAATTTCTAATTTCAATGTACTATGGTCACATAGTATGCATGGGATAATTTCACATTTGCAGTTACTTCAGAATGTTTTATGGGATAATATACGGTCTACTTTGGAAAATGTCCCATGTGCAGCTGAGAAGAATGTGTATTCTGATGCAGTTGGGTGGAATACTCTGTAAACATCTACTAAGTCCAGTTGCTCGCAGGTATGATTCAGTTTTATTATTTCTTGACTGACTTTGTCTAGTTGATCTATCTCTTTGAGACAGTGGGCTTTAAAGGTCCCATGTTATAATTGTGTTCTTGTATATTTGGTTTTTCTTACATATTTGTATCTGTTTTACATAGTTGGGTGCTCCTGTATTTGGTGCATTTATAATTGTTAGGTCTTCCTCTGGAATTTTTCCACTAATGAGTGTGTAGTGACCTTCTTTATCTCGTTTAATCATTTTAGGTTCAAAGTTCATGTTGTCTACAAATAGAATAACTACTCTGCTTTGTTTTGTTTTGTTTTTTCTCTTTTTCCTTTTAAATAAAATCAAAAGAAAAGAATAACTACTCCTGCTTTTTTCTGGGTTCCCATTGCATGATATACTGTTTTCATCCTTTGAGTTTTAATCTATGAGTTTCCTTTTGAGTCAGATGTGTTTCTTGTATACAGCATATTGTGGAATCTTGTTTCTTGATCCACTCTGTCAACCTATTTCTTTTGATAGGTGAATTGAGGCCATTTACACTTATGGATATCACTGATAT